TCAGGTGAATGCGGCCTGTCACCATCAACAGAATCTGGAGATGAAGCTCTGTTTTCAGAGAATAATGATTCCAGGGACACAGACCCGTATTCTAGATCAGAGCAGAGAGAATCAGGTGATGAGGACCTTTCCATTGTAGCCGTAACACAACCTTCTGACAAAGCTACTTTAAACTCTGGGATGGGTGACTCAGATGTAAGAGCCATGTCTTCATCAACAGAATCTGGAGATGAAGCTCTGTTTTCAGAGAATAATGATTCCAGGGACACAGACCCGTATTCTAGATCAGAGCAGAGTGAATCAGGTGATGAGGACCTTTCCATTGTAGCTGTAACATAACCTTCTGACAAAGCTAGTTTAAACTCTGGGATGGGTGACTCAGATGTAAGAGCCATGTCTTCATCAACAGAATTTGGAGATGAAGCTCTGTTTTCAGAGAATAATGATTCCAGGGACACAGACCCGTATTCTAGATCAGAGCAGAGTGAATCAGGTGATGAGGACCTTTCCATTGTAGCCGTAACATAACCTTCTGACAAAGCTACTTTAAACTCTGGGATGGGTGACTCAGATGTAAGAGCCATGTCTTCATCAACAGAATCTGGAGATGAAGCTCTGTTTTCAGAGAATAATGATTCCAGGGACACAGACCCGTATTCTAGATCAGAGCAGAGTGAATCAGGTGATGAGGACCTTTCCATTGTAGCTGTAACATAACCTTCTGGCAAAGCTAGTTTAAACTCTGGGATGGGTGACTCAGATGTAAGAGCCATGTCATCATCAACAGAATTTGGAGATGAAGCTCTGTTTTCAGAGAATAATGATTCCAGGGACACAGACCCGTATTCTAGATCAGAGCAGAGTGAATCAGGTGATGAGGACCTTTCCATTGTAGCCGTAACATAACCTTCTGACAAAGCTACTTTAAACTCTGGGATGGGTGACTCAGATGTAAGAGCCATGTCTTCATCAACAGAATCTGGAGATGAAGCTCTGTTTTCAGAGAATAATGATTCCAGGGACACAGACCCGTATTCTAGATCAGAGCAGAGTGAATCAGGTGATGAGGACCTTTCCATTGTAGCCGTAACATAACCTTCTGACAAAGCTACTTTAAACTCTGGGATGGGTGACTCAGATGTAAGAGCCATGTCTTCATCAACAGAATCTGGAGATGAAGCTCTGTTTTCAGAGAATAATGGTTCCAGGGACACAGACCCGTATTCTAGATCAGAGCAGAGTGAATCAGGTGATGAGGACCTTTCCATTGTAGCTGTAACATAACCTTCTGACAAAGCTACTTTAAACTCTGGGATAGGTGACTCAGATGTAAGAGCCATGTCTTCATCAACAGAATTTGGAGATGAAGCTCTGTTTTCAGAGAATAATGATTCCAGGGACACAGACCTGTATTCTAGATCAGAACAGAGAGAATCAGGAGATGAGGACCTTTCCATTGTAGCTGTAACATAACCTTCTGACAAAGCTACTTTAAACTCTGGGATAGGTGACTCAGATGTAAGAGCCATGTCTTCATCAACAGAATCTGGAGATGAAGCTCTGTTTTCAGAGAATAATGATTCCAGGGACACAGACCCGTATTCTAGATCAGAGCAGAGTGAATCAGGTGATGAGGACCTTTCCATTGTAGCCGTAACATAACCTTCTGACAAAGCTACTTTAAACTCTGGGATGGGTGATTCAGGTGAATGCGGCCTATCATCATCAACAGAATTTGGAGATGAAGCTCTGTTTTCAGAGAATAATGATTCCAGGGACACAGACCCGTATTCTAGATCAGAGCAGAGTGAATCAGGTGATGAGGACCTTTCCATTGTAGCCGTAACATAACCTTCTGACAAAGCTAGTTTAAACTCTGGGATGGGTGACTCAGATGTAAGAGCCATGTCACCATCAACAGAATCTGGAGATGAAGCTCTGTTTTCAGAGAAAAATTGTTTCAGAGACACAGACCCGTATTCTAGATCAGAGCAGAGTGAATCAGGTGATGAGGACCTTTCCATTGTAGCTGTAACATAACCTTCTGGCAAAGCTACTTTAAACTCTGGGATGGGTGACTCAGATGTAAGAGCCATGTCTTCATCAACAGAATCTGGAGATGAAGCTCTGTTTTCAGAGAATAATGATTCCAGGGACACAGACCCGTATTCTAGATCAGAGCAGAGTGAATCAGGTGATGAGGATCTTTCCATTGTAGCTGTAACATAACCTTCTGACAAAGCTACTTTAAACTCTGGGATGGGTGACTCAGATGTAAGAGCCATGTCTTCATCAACAGAATCTGGAGATGAAGCTCTGTTTTCAGAGAATAATGATTCCAGGGACACAGACCCGTATTCTAGATCAGAGCAGAGTGAATCAGGAGATGAGGATCTTTCCATTGTAGCTGTAACATAACCTTCTGACAAAGCTACTTTAAACTCTGGGATGGGTGACTCAGGTGAATGTGGCTTGTAGTCATCAACAGAATTTGGAGATGAAGCTCTGTTTTCAGAGAATAATGATTCCAGGGACACAGACCCGTATTCTAGATCAGAGCAGAGTGAATCAGGAGATGAGGACCTTTCCATTGTAGCTGTAACATAACCTTCTGACAAAGCTACTTTAAACTCTGGGATGGGTGACTCAGATGTAAGAGCCATGTCTTCATCAACAGAATCTGGAGATGAAGCTCTGTTTTCAGAGAATAATGATTCCAGGGACACAGACCCGTATTCTAGATCAGAGCAGAGTGAATCAGGAGATGAGGATCTTTCCATTGTAGCTGTAACATAACCTTCTGACAAAGCTACTTTAAACTCTGGGATGGGTGACTCAGGTGAATGTGGCTTGTAGTCATCAACAGAATTTGGAGATGAAGCTCTGTTTTCAGAGAATAATGATTCCAGGGACACAGACCCGTATTCTAGATCAGAGCAGAGTGAATCAGGAGATGAGGACCTTTCCATTGTAGCTGTAACATAACCTTCTGACAAAGCTAGTTTAAACTCTGGGATGGGTGACTCAGATGTAAGAGCCATGTCACCATCAACAGAATCTGGAGATGAAGCTCTGTTTTCAGAGAAAAATTGTTTCAGAGACACAGACCCGTATTCTAGATCAGAGCAGAGTGAATCAGGTGATGAGGATCTTTCCATTGTAGCCGTAACATAACCTTCTGACAAAGCTACTTTAAACTCTGGGATGGGTGACTCAGGTGAATGTGGCTTGTAGTCATCAACAGAATCTGGAGATGAAGCTCTGTTTTCAGAGAATAATGATTCCAGAAACACAGACCCGTATTCTAGATCAGAGCAGAGTGAATCAGGTGATGAGGACCTTTCCATTGTAGCTGTAACAGAACTAGCCTGAAAGATCCTCAGTGAGTGGGAGGAATCCGATCTAAACATGTTGCAAAAATCTGATGGTAAATCAGCAGCTTTATCTTCAACAGGGTCTTCTGAATCAGCTAGAGAAGATTGCGGCCTGGTTCTATAAGAGTGGCAGTTTGCCACCCCTACATACTGTGGGTCACAGATTTGAGACATGAGCTTGCAGTGGTCTGCATCAAAAGCTAAACCACAGACTGGTATAGAATGTTGTGTTAAAGATGAAGATTTGTCCTGACGTGGTGAAAATACCAAAAACTCGTTCTCTACATCAGCACTTTCATAAGCTGCTGTTTCAGGCATTTCAACATTTCCCTCTTCTACACTAACTGCTGTTTGAATTACCAACAGCTGCTCATTATCACTTACAGAGCCAAGAGAATCAGGAGATACTGTTCTTTTCTCAAAAAGCAATGGCATAGCCTCATACTCGGTATCTGACAGCATAGATTCTGATGATGATGATGAGTGGTAATGAATGGTAACAGGATGATTCACACATGATACATATTGTGGTATGGGAGAGTCTATGGACAAGTCTTCATTTAATGTCACAGACTCAGGGGAGTACGATCTAATATCTAACATTGCTGAGTCTGGAGACATTGGCCTGTATTCGGTTAGTGACTCTGGAGAAAGCGGTCTTTCCTCAGTACCAGAAAGTGAAATGATAACCCAGTTGCCAACATATTCAGATACTAACTCCATTGGTGTTGCTGGTTTGTTCTCATTTTCAGGTACATTCTGTCCGAGTGACAGCATGTTTTCAAAATTATCCTCATCATCAAGATGACCAGTCTGATTTGTATTTTGGGTTTCATTCATGCTACTCGTGAATTTCACATCAAGACTGCCTGTATAAGGAGTGTGGTGCACATCACTCTGAACCACAAACTCTGAAATGTCTTTATCAGCCTTTGTTTGCCTGTCACCTGCATGAACCTCATTGTTCCTGACTTCTTGCTTTGTGTAATCAGGGGAGTAAGCTGTAGGTAATAAAGACACATCCTCACTATCTGAATCCACAGTCTCAACATTGCCTCCATACAGGACCTTATAAAGTCGGCATGAAACTTCATCCATGTGTTTTGGGGCCATTTGTTTTGCTTGTGTGCTTTCTGTCATCAAATTGAGGGGATAAGAAGGGAGTACAGTAGTAGGTTGAGTGGGAAGCATTTTTTCACCAGCATGTTGTTGTGTAAGGCGTAGTTCTTCATCAGTTTCTGTAAGTTCCATCAACAGTTTCTGAAAGTCTTGCTCCACTTGCTCACACTCGATCAAACTGTCTCCAAAATCAGTCATTGACAACGGTCGACTTTTGCATACACCTGTCTGAGAACTGTCGGATGTCTCTGCCCAAGGCAATGGTGACAAATGATGAGCTTTGTCTCCAGAGTGGGGTCTTTGCAGACACTCTAAGCTCCAATCCTCTCCTCCCTCTGCCCCCTCATCTTCAGCAGCCCCTTCATGGTCACATCGTTCAAAAGTGGGGAAGGTGGACGTTGGGGTAACTTGGGCACATAACTTGGGTGCCCCTTTGTACATGGGGTGTAGCACATGGGATCGGAGATTATAGGGAGAGGTGCAGTACAATGTGAAGAAAGGACTTACTTGTTTAAAACTGCCAGTTTGTACCAAGTCTGTCATTTCCTCATATGTTCTTTGTGATAAGCTGCAAAGAAAAGAAAATGTAGAAATGCAGTGCTGAGACAAATGACCAAAATAACCCAGTATCGGCCTAATCGCTCATATTACTGTAAAAGAATATATTTCACAAGTTGAAGGAAATTAAACCGACAATATTTAATGCATAGTAGTAAAAACCGTATTAAGTTTGCAAATCTGTGTCAAAACGATCACTAAAAAGAAGTAATAAAGGAAGCATCTTAGCAAACTGCTTTTAACCTTAGCAATGTGTTCCTTGTTTCTCTCTGTTGATGTGCAGAACAGTTGCAGAACATGTGCACGGCTGTCAATAAACAACTAGATAATGTGGATGGGGTGACATTAAACGAAGCATTCAGAGTAACTCACTGTGTTGTTTCCATCTCTTTTTGTGGCTTGTCTTTGTGAACAGTTCTAAGAAGGCCTGCTGCTGTGGAGTCTGTCACCGGTCGTCCTGTTGTCTCGTGAAGTGATGACAAACTGGATGAAAGGTCTTCTGCTGAAACTATGGGAACCTGTTGTCCTGAGCGTGGACTCTTTTTTGCAGCCTCTGTACGCTTGCTGATCCTGGGGCTGTCAATGTCTTCATGAAGAGCAGCGAAACCTGATCGGGCACACAGGACAGGAAGGGAAATTTTAACCTCTCAACAGCCAACAGCTCACGGTCATATCACATTGAACAGAAGTTAAATGTATTTTAGCCAGTTTACTAGATTCTAGTAAACGTCTAGTAACTAGAAGACATCACCTAATCTCGTGCATGAATCTTACAGTTTTCCTGTTTTAGTATTGTATACTCAAAGTATTTGGTTAGCTTGTGCACCTTCACTATGGTCCTGTGCTATGGTCCACTCGATTTCTGCATACGTATGTGAGGTTTCTTCTTCAGACGTCCTGCTTTCAATAAGGTGAACAATATCCATTCGATTGATCTTTGTCAGTCTTTTGATAAGTGTTGCTTCTGTTGAAACAGAATAAAAGTTTCACTTCAAAGCTGACAACAAGATTTCTTTACTTATTAAGTAAAAAGCAATAATTCTGAGAAATGTGTACCAACTACAGGAACTAAACACTGGCCTGTGGCAAGATTTCCCTCCCTCTCTGTCCAGACTTTCAGAAGAGCATGGCTTTGGTCTTGAAGTGAGTTGGGGTTTCCAGTTCTTATCTCATTGATCCTCTCCTCACTGAAGTCAAGCTCCTGTGCTAACTCTGTTGGCGAGAAGATGATACAGTAACAATCGTGAATATTTGAAGATACATTTGAATGTCTGGTGTATCTTGAGGGCCTGCCAACTATGCATTGAGCTTGAGCGCTTCATCGCCGTGATGAGGTGTCACTCACCCGTCCAGCTGAAGCCAAGGTGGTCAGCTATAATGGCCAACCGTTGCTCTTTTCTCTCTGCTTCATCCTGTGGATCTACTGCAAATACCACCAGACAGCCATGAGCGGTCAGAACCGCAATGTGTTCCAAATGATATGTTCACAAATATTAAAAAATAAAACACCTTCACTGGCTTTCTTTTTTGTGTTCTACTAACGATGTCTTTACATAGGATTAATTAAGGATCCAGACCTATACCCTAGAGCATGATGTGTCATTTCAATCAATTGTTGCCATTACACTTAATTGTTCTGGATATTATTAGTCACATTTTAATCTTTAAAGTTATTTTCACAATAAAGCCTTTAAGTCAATCTTGAGATTTTCAGCACACATACAAGGAAAGTGAGACATCATTACAAACAAAAACACAGCTCAAGCAACATGTTTTCCTTTTTACTTCAAGAAGACATAATCACAAGAGACAGAGAGGCAGCACCTTTAGCTATCGTACTAATGAGGCACAAGAGATAGAGAATAGCCCCTTAAACTGGGGGGATACCTTGACTTTGGACTTTATCGTCTGGGATTCGCTGCATCTGTGTCTCAACAGGTTCGTCCCACAGTGGTCTAATGGGAAAGATGTCTCCTGAGGGAGGGAAATGTTCTCTTTCTATGACTAAAGGATCAATGAGACTGCTCTCGTCATCTGAGATGGTGGCCGCAACCTCTTGCTCTCTGTCTGCCTCTGCCAACCTAGCCACCAGTTTTGCTGCTTCATCACTTATCTCTTCAAAGAACTCAACGGGCTCTTTATAGGGCTCCCTTTTTTCTTTAGTGGGTGTTGTTGAATGTGACGACTGACCGCTTTTGCCTCGGACTGGCAATCTGGACTGAAAACCCTTAGATTTTGCCGCCTCAGCACTCAAAGGACGACCCTGTTCTTTTTTAGATGACCTGGGAGACTCCCCCTCACAGAAACTCTTGGCTTTGGAAGATGGAGTCTTGGTTTTGACATCCACAGAGGGACCTGCATCTGTCTCAGATTTTCTCCTTGTATCCTTTTTCACAGGGACCTTAAGTTTTTTGTCTTGGTTATTTTCAGCACGTTTGACAGTAGAGTCAGGCTTCATCGTGCTAGCTTTAACTGGAATTCTAGATTTAGATTCAGAAGTAGAGATGGCCTCTTTTTTAGGAGTGCTGGAAGGGGAAACTGCATGAGATGGAGAATGAATTGTTGATTTACCGCGGCCTTGAGAAGAAGTAGGCTTAGCTGGTGCTTTGACTGGAGTCTTTTTAACACTACTGGAAGCGCTTTGTTTGGATTTTCCTGTTGTTTTGGGGGCTTCTATTACTGACTGTGGTTCCTCTGGAGAAGAGTCAGAAGACTCTTCCCCTTGCTCAGAGTAAACTGATCTAGTGATAGTAGTATCTGCTGTCTGTACATTTGTTATCATTTGACCAAGGGAACTTGTGTCTAAATCTAAGGATCTTTCAGTTATCTCTGCTTTCATCTCTAGAAGTTCTGGGGATGTCCGATCTTTCTTTGTAGGTTTAGCTGAAGCTGAAATGCCCATTTTGGGGATTTTAGATTTGGAGGCATCAGCTTTGCAGCTTGGCTGTTCATCTTCAGGCGAGGACCGAAGCTGTGAATCAGCTGTTTCTTCGGATTGCTCACTGTTATCAGTCTTAACCTCTAGTGTTAAATTGAGACCAACTTCCGGTTCTGCAGCAGATCTTTGACTCTCTTGTCTGGGCTCTTCTAAGATGGGCTCCTCTAAAGGCTGTTCTCCTATCTGGAAAAAGGCAAAGCCAACAGCCTCTTCCTCGTAGCTTCTCTTTGTCATGTCAATAGCACCACTGCGGGTCATCTCAAAGAGCTTCCCTTCTTGGAAAAGAAAAGGATTGGGCTCACTGGTGGGAGTGCTCTCTTCTGTTGGTGTCCTACCAGGTGTGGTGTCTGGAGACTGACGGTCAACAACCAGATTCAGTATCTTCTGTTCCTCCTCTTTTACGCGAGCTTCAAAAGTGGCATCATCCTCCCGCATTGCAGACCAAGACTCGGTATCTACCCTTGCAGTGACACCTTTGGACTCGGTCCTGGGAGGTTCCAGTGTCTCGTCATCCTCCTCTGTGTCATCGTAGATACAGACCTCTGGTTTAAACGTTTCCTGTGTCTTACTTGTAATAACAGTTTCACAGAGTCCGGCCTGATCTCCTTTAACTTCATCTGTGACATTACTACATCTTTTCAGCACACCTGTCTGTGGCTCACTAATCTCTAACTCTTCACCATGCGTATCATCTCCTCTACTTTCCCTTGATTTCCTTAAGCTTTCTTCCTTTTGCTCATCAGTCCTATTTTTAGTATTTGATGTTGATGCCTTTGTGTTGCTATTGGCTTTATTGGCTTTTCCAGATAATGGGCAACTTTCTTCTTTTTTCATTTGGGATTTTGAATGATGCTGGTCTGAGACAGAGTGAGGTCCCTCTGAGGTGACACTGGTTGATGATGTGCTCTTGGCCTCTTTGCTGTGGCATCCATCATTCAAACCTGCTGAAAAAGGAGAGGGAGGTTGTACTTTAATAAGGGGATCAACAAAAAGAGCTAATTTTGAATCCTCTGTGGGTGTACTGAACCCACATTCACTTTGCGATAGCTTCTCACTTTCACAGCTGTCATCCCCTATTTTGGCATCTGCTGGAGAAAACAAATCTTTTCTAGACTTCGTTTTGCTCTTCACGTCTTGTTCCATTTCATTAAATGTTTTTATTTTGGCTGCCATCTTAAACATCTCTTCCTCAGGAGTGATCTTTCTCCTAGCTTCGTGGCTGTCTGATGCATTATCTTCTTCTGGGTCTTCAGGGATGACAGCCGGTTTTGATAGAGCAAAGAGGAATGAATGATCAGGGGGTTTGGGGTTTACCTCATAACTTACCTCTTCAGAACTAGGGGTGTCAGGGGAGAGGGGGCTCTTACCAGAACTTGTCATCTGAGACGTCTGCTCACAACTGTCATCATCAGCACTAGCCTCATGGTCTCGAAGAAGCCTACTGGGCACAGTTTCCTTGGGGAATTCTGCATCTTTGGGAGGCTCTGGATGGCTATAGGATTTGCTAGGTGGACCTAGTGGGAAGAATGGGCAGCTTTTTAGCTCTACAGGACTGCTCTCTAAGGAGTCATGAGGAGGTGATTCCTTAGTTGGGCTGGGTTCAATAGAGTCTGGGGATTTGTGGGAGGAATTTTCTTCCATGAGAGGACTACCCTCTAACGAGTCTCTGTGGCTTATTGTTAAAGAGTCATCAGCTAACGGACTGAGAGCATCTGGGTCTTGTTTTAAAAGTAAGTCTAAGCTTTCGTGATGCTGAGACGGGGATCTAGGAGCTGACGACCCAACTAAAGACAATACTAGCTGATGATCGGGCTTTCGTCATCGCTAAGAAAAGTTTCTATAGTCTCTGAAATTCTTTTTGTAAGCTTTTGTGGTTTTGACTCACTCCTCTTAACAGATATAGACTCACTTGTAGTGTGGTCATCTGTAGCCTTGCTGGAAGAGACAAGGAGGGTCAATTCTGTAGAGAGTTGGTCACCAGTGGTCCCTATACCAGAATCCCCACACTTCTCTGTGTCTTTACTCTCTTTCTTTACTGTTGTGGCAGCTGGTGCCAAAGTTGTAGAGGTCTGCTTTACAGTTTTGGGAGAAAGACCTAGACTTTCAGGGCTTGTGCCCGGAGTGGCTAGACCCTCATGTTTGTAACTGTCCTCAGAGCTCAAATGAGAGGATCCATTTCCAGAACTTAGGGAGTCTGCCACACCCTCATGTTTAAAGCTGCCAGAGCTATCATCAAGGCCACCGTTTCCAAAGTCTACAGTGTCAGTTAGCTCTGAATCAGCAGAGGGTTTTGTGTCTTTGTCTTGCTGACTGATCAGTTTCTTTTGGGTTTGGAATCCAATGACACTTCTCGCTCTTGAGGGACGTGTGAAGCTGCTGCTTTTGTCGTGGATTTTGTGTGGATAGTTTCAGATTTAGTGCTTTTTTCTGATTTGGATGAAGAGGATGTTTTGAGCTGAAATAGCCCCGACTTTCTCTTTGAGGGGTCTTGACCCGTTTGGAATGCTTGCATCAGCTCTTTAACTGACATGGTCTCTTCAAGTTTTTCAGAATCAGCTTTAGGGGATTTATGCGGGGCCTGCTTTGACTTAGTGGTTTCTTTGGCTTTTGGGGAGGATTTGCTCATAACAGGCAAATGCGTAGGTTTGCTTCCAGTGACCTTTTTGCTCTTTTGCTCTGCCTCCACTTTCTGTTGTAAGGCTTTGACTTTGTCCTTGATTGATCCGATGGGAGTTTCTTCAATCACTGGGATACAGGGGATGCTGGGGCCTTGGCTGTGGGCACGCTTAGACGACTCCCTGTTTCTGTCGATTCCTCTGTCTTCCCCTGGTCTTTTCCCTTCCGTCTCACTGGCTTTTTAACATCACCAGTGGTGGGTTTGTCATGTACTTTGGTTGGAGTGGTTGGTTTTGTACTTTTGCGTAGCACAACATCAGTGAATCTTTCCTGGAAACTTGTCTCTTTTTTGGCTTTAACTTTAGAGCTTATTGGTACATCCAGCAGGTATTCTTTAAGGTCACCACTGTCCTTGATGGCTTTAGGTCTGGGAGTCCCTCTGTTACCTCTACTTTCCCGTAAGACGAGCTCTTGATTTTCTAAAGCTGCCATCTTTTTGGCTTCTTCTATCTCACTGTCTGAGAGGAGAACCCATTCCTCAGCCATTCTAGCTGCTTTCGCTGCCTCCTCTGCCACCTCACCCTCATACGTTCCACCCCTCAGTATTTCACTGACTTTCTCTAGGTCCTCTTTGACTTTCTCTAAGTCTTTTTCCATTGTTTCTAACGCTTCTCCAGAAACTTCCTCGGTCCCTTTCTCTAGACCACACCCTCCTAAGGAAGGGGATTTCTCAGCGGAGTCTGCAGTCAAGATGACAGTCATTTTGATCAAATCTTGTTTCATCTCTGACACGTCGGATAGAAGATCTGGTTCTCGAATCAGCTCTGATTTCAGGACTGACGTCTCCGTCTCTTCATCTTCCATACGGA